TTCTTTTATTTATTTTTTTTTAAATCAGGGTTTTCCAGGAAAGCATCAGCATTCCACAACGGCCTAGGTAGATCTGCCCCGTGGAGTTAAATCCCATCTGCCCCACGGGGTAAAACCTGTCTGCCTCCGAGGCAAATCCCAGCCTTGGCAGTTATTTTTAGTTGTGTTTTTTTCCCTTTTTCTTTACTTTTAATTTTTTTTAAAATCAGGGTTTTCCAGGAAAGCATTGGCATCCCACCACAGTCTAGATAAATCTGCCCCATGGGGTAAATTCCATCTGCCCCAGGGGGTAGATTCCATCTTCCCCCCGAGGTGATTTTCCATCTGCTCCCCCCGAGGAAAAATCTCATCCGCCCCGCAGGGTAAATCCCATCTGCCCCCTGGGGTAAATCCCAGCCCTGGCAGCTATTTTTAGTTCTGCTTTTTCCCTTTTTTTTTATTTTTAATTTATTTTTTTTTTAAATCAGGTTTTTCAAGGAAAGCGCTGGCATCGCGCCACAGCCCAGTCCAAGGAGCCAGTGAGGGTCCGGATAAGGCTTGTTCACCACCCCCCCCCCGGCCATCCCCAGGGCCTGGGAATGTCAGGGTGGCTGTTCCGGGCAAGGCGCCGGGATCCATCCACGATGGGGGAGGAGGTGACAGCCCTGGGAGGCTTCCCAGGAAGCAGCGCCAAACCCTCCCCCTGCCAAACCCCACAGCCCCCGGCCCCGGCCGAGGGAATCCCCTGCCCTGACCCCCGGGAGGGGACAGAGACGGGGGCCACCTCCACTCCCCGGGGGCAGGAGTCCCCTCCACCTCCCCAGTGCCCTTTCCATCCGGAAAGTCCCAGCAGAACTTGTTTCTCCCACCCCGCCAGTGCCTGGCCCCACTTCTCCCAGTAACCCCCGCCCCAAACTGGGCTCATTAATGCTCCCACGGGTCCAGGATCTCCACTGGGGGACCCCTGGGCCCTGGAGTGCTCACACTGCAGGAAGCCCCACTTCGCAGCTACCGAGGCCCATCCCCGTCCCCTGGCTCATTCCCAGGGCGCTTTTCCCACCCTTCCCACTTGAATCCCTTTGGCACAACAGCGCTGGCGCAGCTGGAGGACCACGACACCGGGGTGAGCGTGGGGACACTCACCCCTAACCCACCCCTCGGCTTTTCCTCCGGAGCCAAGAGCCAGTGAAGATGGCAAAAGCCTATTTTTAGCCTCAGCACAGCAGCAGCTCCGTTCCCAGACGCTGAGGTTTCCACATGGACACCCTCACCTGCCTCCCACCACACCCAGACACCCCCTTGCCACCCCATCCCATCCCACCCCACCCGTGGGTGCCTGAGGGTGCTGCCCTCAGGGAGCCTGGGGACATCAAGCTGGGAGGAGGGAGGAATGTTCCCAGGGGTTGGTGATCCCGTTGGACCAGCTGGTGCTTTTTGGAAGCTCCACGTGCTGCTTTTCCCTGTGGAAATGCCCATGGACGAGGGGGGGGGGTTGGGGGGTGCCAGCTGCACCCTGAGCTCATGTTGGCTGTTGTGGGGATGGAGGCTGAAGCTGGTGTCTGTGGGGGAAGCTTTGCATCACCCTGAACCCCAAGACCCTCGTGCCTTCCTCCTCCTCTTCCCATCTTCCCAGCTCCCCATGATGCTGCAGCACCCCAGGGACACCTCGATGGCAAGGGGTAGCACCCACACCACGCAAAGCCAGAGCCCAGGACAGGGCATGGGTGAGGATGATGGTGCTACAGGTGGGGGGGAAGTTAATTTAACTCCATCCCAGGCAGGCCAGCACCTTCCCCAGGGAGCAGGATCCGGCTCCGCAGCTGAGCCGGCCGGGGGTCACATCTGCTCCCGGGCCAAAGGGAAACCGCAGCATTACCCAAGGGGAGGGAAAGGCATCTCTGCTCCCAACACCCCTTCCCTGGGGTGCTGACCCCGGAGCGGGGATCAGGCCAGGCAGAGGATGTGCTCTGGATACCACCTGGGGAAGCACAGGCAGCCCAGAAACCCCCCTTCCCCTGGGGGTGTATCCTGGGGGAACAGCATCACCCCTTCCAGCCCCAGAGCAGCTCAAATCCAGCGCCCAGGTACCAAGTAGCCCTTTTTCACAAGGCAGAAAGTGAGAGGGAAAAAAAAAAAAAAAAGGCATCTTTTCCCCCCCTCCCGGGGCTCCAGCTACACCTCCAGATGGTCCCCGGGGCTCAGCAGCGTCTTCACTTCTTCCATATCAGATAAGCAGCACAGCACCCAAAATAGCTGGCAGCCACCTCGGCCCGGAGCCGGCAGCCCAGGGTTAATTCCTCCCATACCTGAGCTGACATTTCAAAGCTGTTACACAATTACGGAGATTCCTACCGTAACCCTAGAAGTTCCCATCAGAGTTCGGGGGGCTCCCACCCACAGGGGGCTGTTTTCCCACCCAAGGGTGCCCCCCCCTGCTCCCTCCAGCCCCAATGATAGGAGAAAAAAAAAAACAGTCAAAACGATTTTTTTTATTATGTAAAAATGGTAACTTTTATAAAAAGTTTATAAAGCGAGTACAAGGCATGTTCGCAGAAATTCACCTTCCTGCACAAAAGGTACAAAAAGTTATACTCTAGTATAGAGCTCCACAATACACGAGG